TGATATGAAATGTTCCATTGGGCTGTGCATAAGCTCAGCACCTCCTGGGTGTGAATTTATTTGTTATTTTTTTTATCCTCACCCGAGGACATTTTTCCATTTTTTGTACAGACAGAGTGGGAGGGAGAGAGAGGAAGAGAGAGAGTGAGAAACATCGATGTGAAAGGGACACATCGAGTGGCTGCCACCCGCACGACCAACCAGGGCCGGGGACAAACTGCAACCAAGGTACATGCCCTTAGCGGGAACCGAACCCGGGTCTCTCCGGACCGCAGGCGAGCGCTCTAACCGCTGAGCCAAACCGGCCAGGGCTTGGGTGTGAATTTAAAGGACATTTCCGTTGTCCGGGCTGTGACTGAGCCCTGCCCACAGTGAGCCTCCTCGAGTCCAAGTGTTTTTGGGGTTCTAACCAGTGATTCCTGTGTTCTGATCCTGAGCCCTGTGTTAAGGCTCTCTCTCCTTCCTCTTTGACTCTTCCTCAATAAAGACTTCATAAGGGTGGAAGTCATGGCTCTCTGGGTCCCACTGAGCCCCCACTGGCACGCAGATATTGTGGCTGGGTGCTGCTCAGAACCTAGCCAGCCACCTGCATATTTTTGTTTTCTGAGAAAAAGGCCCCCCAAAAGAAAGGAACACAATTCACTGGTGACCTGTGTGCAAAAGGAGGAGGAGGAATATCCAGCTAGAAGGGAGGTCCCCACCCAAAAAGGGAACAGATGCTCCCCTGCCATGATCAGGGCATAAATGGAATTGCAGACTGGTCTGGAGGCTGGTAATCAGAGTACCATCTTCCAGCCACTGCACTGGCCCTGTGGTCCTGCTTTCATGGTGACAGAGGTGATGCTGAGAGAAAGCTATATGTAGGTCACCTGCCTTTGGAATGCGAGCTCCTGAGGGAGGTGCAGCACTTAGCCTTACCTAAATTTTTTACTCCCCTTTTGGTTGGTACTCATTTGATTGTGTTCTGGCAGGAGGAACTGTCTACTGTAACACTGTGTGTGCATCCTGCAGTTTCATAGGAGTGTACCTTCACCCTGGGAAAGCAGAAGCAGGCTGTGTGAGCTCCAACCTGAGACACAACACATAAAAGAGCCCCCCAGAAGCAGATCTCAAGATACTGTGAGAATAGGTCATATGTTTAGGAGGGGACTGTGGGTAGACTGGAGGTGAGCAGGGCAATGAAGAAGGAGAGGACGGATTTACCAAGGGGGCATTGTGAACAGGTTGGGACCTGCCCCATACACCATCCAGGTGGCTGTGTTGAGCAAGTACATGGGCATGGGGTGTCCCCTCTCCCTACTGCATCTGCCTTAGCCTGTGACCTCTGAGAATGTTGAAGTGAGTGCAACCCAGGCCTCTCTGAGTCCAAGTAGAGCCTGTAGAGCCTGCTCCTTTCCCCACCCACCCTCCTCCACTTCCTACTGAACGACTCCCAAATTCCTGATCCTTAGAAACTGGGATAGATGTAAGTACTTATTGTTGTTTTAAGCCAAAAAATTGGTGATTTTGTGTTTCTCAGCAGTGGGTGATGTGTACACCTGTTAGGCAATAGCAGACTGAGTGTGGATGCCAGTGGGCATCTCACCAGTGGCAAAGAGCTTGAAAATCAGGCTAGCCATAGGTGGTCCTCAGGGAGCACTCTCCAGGTGGAGAGCATTTTCACAGTTGATGCAAACATTTAGAATAACCATAATTGCAGTCAGGAAACAGATGGCTTGCTCTATTTAGATTATATGAGGAGGGTTTATTTACAAAGGCAGTGTTACCACCCAGAGCTGAAGGCACTTTCCCTGGAGGACTGACTAGTATTAAAAACCAGGCTTTCACCTACAGGGAATTCACCACTCACACAAATAGGTGTTAACTAGATACTGTCATTAGAAAGGAGGCAATCAGGAGTTTATAAACCCCTGGGGGCCATAAACCAGTCAAGAGGGAATGGGATATGGAAATAACACCCAATAAAGTGAAAACAAAATTAGGAGAATCTAAGATCTGGTCTGCTTCCCTTCCTGAAAACTAGAACTTCATGTGTGGAGTGCAGGTTATGTACAGGATGAGTCACAGTGGTGCCTCTCCAGGGCTTTGCACACCAATAAGGCAGGCCCTCAGGGAACACAGCTGCCATGACTAGATGGACCTACAGGTGGAGCTGGGCTAAAAGGCAAACTTTCTTCAGGCAGGATCAGTGGATTCCTCTGGGAGGTGGAGCTTACAGACCCCTAATTCAATCAGCTTCATTTCCAACTACTATGAGATACCTGAAGTGAAAAGGTGATTCTGTTGGGAAGACATAGGTCACAGGATCCTCTCCACAGTGGAGGATCTATGCCTTTCTCTCTGCAAAATTATGGTTCTTATCTTGGTTTGCCTAGACTGTCCTAACATAGCACAACAAGTTCCACATCCTGGGAAACCAGAGTAGTCAGCCATCTTGGTCTCACCCTTGCCTGCACAATGAAATCACCTGTGAACTTGAAAGTCATGGAGAGCCAAAGTTCCAGTCCAGAGCTTCTGACTTACCTGGCCTGGAGTGTGGCCTGGAGTTTTCAAAGTTCCCTGGTGATTTGTACATGCATCAGGTTTAGGAACTCAAGCTACAAAGCTTTTTTGACATGTGCAGTTGGCCCTGGGGCCCAATTTTTCAGTGTATTTGCTTAAACATTCACTACACTAGGGTATAGATGAGTCTAGATTTCCAATTAGGATAAGCAAAATCTATACCCTAGTGTAGTGAATTGTACTGGGGGTCCTAGCCACAGCAATCAGACAAGAAAAAATAAAAGACATCCAAATTGGAAAGAAGGGTATAAATCTGCCATTATTTGCAAATAACATTATATTATATATTGAAAATCCTGAAGATTGCACCAGAAAACTACTAATTCTAATAAATGAATTTGGCAAAGTAGGAGGATACAAAATTAATATTCAGAAATCAGTGGCATTTTTGTACACTAATAATGAACTATGAGCAAAAGAATCTAACAAAACAATCCCATTTACTATTTCAACAAGAAATATAAGGTACTTAGGAATAAAGTTAAAGGAAGTAAAAGAGCTATACTCAGAAAATTATAGGACATTGAAGAAAGACATTGAGAAAGATATAAATAAGTGGAAGCATATACCATGTTCATGTTATATGAACATCATTAAAAAGTTCATACTATACCATTCAACAATATTCTTATTAAAGTACGAATGGCATATTTCACAGATCTAGAACAAATATTCCAAAACTGTATATGGAACTGAAAAGATCTCAAATAGCCACAGAAATCTTGATAAAGAAGATCAAAGTTGGAGGTATCACACTACCGGATATCAAACTATTCTACAAGGCCATTGTAAATCAAAACAGCCTGGTACTGGCATAAAAACAGGCATGTAGACAATGAAACAGAATTAAACAAGAGAAGCATTACTTAAATGTGTCAAGTCTGATGGGATAGTCCTCTGAGACACAGGAATTCTTTGCAGGGGCTTCAGTCCAGGGATAAGAAATAAAGAGTGTTCAGTTTGCCTCCCTCCCTCTATGTATTGCTCCTGAAGCAAAGCCCAGAGCAGGCAACATGGACAGTGATAATGGCAGAGATAGTAGCAAATGCCATTCTAAATGGAGAATGGTTGCTTGGTTGAAGATGAACGGTTACAGTGAATCATGTTCTAGGACCTTGGAGTGCAGGAGTACTGTTAGAAAATGAAACTCAGCTAATTAAGACTTAATTACTACTGTCATAGGAGGTTTCCTATTTTGCATTTCCTTAACCCTGCCTCATTAAAAATTGTGGATTTTAATCCCAAGCTCATTTCCAAGCCAAAACAATTAAGGGAGGAAGACATAAAAACTGGCCTTTGAAATCCAGAAATTAGGGGAAAGAGAGGGAAGCTATGAATCAGACCCAAGTCCCTTCCCAACTGGACAGAGCTTCAGATTTCATCAGATTAGGTCAGGAATGCAGAGTATAAAAATTCATTTTGTGAGTCTTCTGAGAGTTTCACCCTTTGTGGTCCATTGCAAAGGCCTTGGCCTTTTTAGTTTGATTGAAAAATACACTGGCTCCCATGCTTGCCTACACAATGCTGAAATACCACTGGTGACACATAGAAATGAGATCCAGCCAGAAACCTTCCTTCAGGAAGGACTGGGTTGGGGAGGAATACATGTGTCTACCAAAAAATATCAAATCAGATACAATATCTAAAACCTCCATGTTCCTGCCACCTCATGACCATAAGAAACATGAATCTTATTAAACCAACACCATATTATTGTAACTCAGCAACCAGAAATGTAAATATTGGTCTTATATCAAACTACTGTATTGAAGGATGAATTGTAACAAATCTAGCTGTGTAAGGAAGAGAGACAATAAGGAAAGCATGATTCCGGGACCACCAGCTGAAGAGTAGTCTCAGTATCCTGCAGTTGATTTAATAATCTCATGTCACATTGTCTTTTATGGGAAATGAGAATCATAATATCCTTCCCCACACTCATACTATGCTGTAAAGATTAAATAAGAAAGTGTGAACTTCAGAAAATTTAATGTTATTCAAATAAAAATAAGTGTCATTATTAGGTAAAAAGCAGGGCACTAGAAGTGTGGTATTTATTCCATCCCTAGCATTCTGGTGCCTGAGACCCCAAGACCCACATTTGTGGTGCTCACCTGGGCTACTGCTGATTATAGGTGTTTGCTTGAGACTCTGTTTTTTTTGTTTTGTTTTTGTTTGTTTTTTTATACTTTGAGTGCCTTGCAGTTGAGAAGCAAGTAATCAGCAACAGTCCCCCATTCCTTCCTTCATAGTTAGAGAGAACTGCTGTCATCAGCTAGGAGCAGGCACTGTTCCCCTTGGCAAGACCTCTCTCCCTGGAATCAGTTAAGTTCAGGTTGGAAGGGAGCAGAAGTGAGCTATGCACACACTTCATTTGTTCTGACTTGCTCATCTTGACTTTCCTTTTTTTACTCCCCACTTTCTTTTCAACTCTGCAGACCAATAAAGCTGTGGCCAAAGGGGACTTTCACCAGGCCAGCACCAGCTCTCGGCGGGCCCTGTTCCTGGCTGTGCTCTCTATCACAATAGGAACTGGCATCTATGTGAGTGTGGCCGTGGCCCTCATTGCCTACCTCTCCAAGAACAATCACCTATGAGCTTCTTCTGGGCACACGGGAAGAACTTGGGGCCAGTTTTGTGCAGATGGAAAGCAAGCAGGGCTGGCAAGAGAGAAACACCTGTGTGATGCTGTATAATATAAATTATTGCCAAACAACTCCATATACCCTGAAATTTTCTACTCATGGCTTTCTTTTGTTTTTACCCTTTAATTTTATTTTCACAACACTTTGTAAAACACAAGACAGATGGGTACTGCTGACTCTTCTAAGTGGAAGCTCTAAATATCTTTATACTTAAGGCTCTCTCTGTATGGATTTTGGTGAATTAATGACAGTACAGCTCTCTCTGCAGCCTGCCAATGCCTAGAAAGCCATACCATTAGCAATATACAAATAGTAAAAACATGTTAATTTTTTATGGAATATGGTCCAATAGGCAGAAGGAAGGGGACATGTCACTCTTCTGTTTGTTGTCCTGCTTGACTCCTCTGCCATTCCCCCAGTCCATGTACCCTCCTATGGAAAGAAAACAGGCCAGAGCAGAAAGATTGGAAAAACTACTGACAGGAACCCTGTTATCATTGGTTTTCAATGGATCCAGCAAAGTCAGGACGGTGTGGGACCTGTCCCCAGGCCCAATCTTTTATTCCCTCCACTCCCCAGCCTAGAATCATTTAGCCTCCCTTGGAAGATGTCCAAATTTAGCAGCTACCACATAGCAATCTGCAATCTTAGGCCTCATTGATCTAGGGTGGGGGGAAGCAGGCCACAGTCTGTCCAAAGACTCCTCCCAGAAGGACCTCAAGGAAAAGGAGCTGTGGACACCATCTCAGCATAAAGACAAACTTTGGCACTAACCTTGGTGATAAGCAGTGGCACTAGTGATCTTAGAAAGAGATGAACATTCTCTGTCAACTAAATGAATAGCTTTTTTTTTTTGTAATTTTTTTAAAGTGCAAATATTGCTTTATGCTGCTTAAATTATCAGATGAATGTTGAGAAATAATCACCATTTTAATACCATTTTATTGCTGTTTCACTAGTGTTCATTATTTAACAAAAAATTATATTTTATCTCTTTTGCTTAAGACTTTCCTTTCTGATTAATACTGTTTCTTAGGTTTCACTTACAGTTTTTACATTTTTAAATAACTGCAGAGCCACCCAGGACTTGGTTTCCAAAACAGTAGTAGAGTATTATAAGATGAGAATGACATCATTTCTGACTACTTAAGTTCCACCTTGAACACTGTCAATATGTATTATTGTTCTGATACTCTCTGCGGATGCTGAAACCATCTCTCTAGAGCAATTGTTTCACCCCAGCCCTTACAGAATTTCTGCTGCCTGGATCCCGGTCCCAGATTTTTTATTTGATTAATTGAGGTCTAGGCTCATGATTCCCGTGTGCAGCAGGAGTTAAGAACCACTGTCCTGAAATGAGAACTCAGGTTTGATCTCCTTCACCCTTGACCTTAGACCCTTAATATTCTGAAAATTATTGGCACTGCCTTCCTGGGTCAAGTCGAAGATCTTTTACCATTTGGTTCTAATGGATGCTTCAAAAACATGCTCTAAAAAGAATATATGGAAAAAACAAAAACAAATGCCCCTATAAAAATCAGCATAATCTGGTGATAGCATGGATTTGGGATCAAACCAACCTGGATTTCAATCCAGTTGCGCTACTTTCTAGCTATATGATCCCGGGTAGAGGGATGTACTTCTCTGAACCTCATCTCTAGAAGAGGATAAGTAAAGCCCACTTCCTAGGATTGCTGGTAAGTGAACACAGAGCTCAGCGCCTGGCACGAGTTATGTAAAGGAGTTGTAGTGGCTGCTACCCAGTCTTTGGATAGTCATCCTTTGGTCTGTTTGTGCCCTCTTATTTTTTCAGCCAAATATCTCAGGGTTTATTTATCAGGAATCACTGTGTGAAATGGGCTTCGTTGTATTTGTCCTAAAACAGTTCATTTGAAGTTGAAGAGGTGACAAAAGTTTCATGTCTTTGGATTTTGTTAAGTAGAACCAACCTTATATGTCATGTCCCGCCACCTCCACCACCATATTGTGGTTGCTCTACGCTAACTCTTCTGTGCCCAGACACCCTGTCTTCTACGAGAAGACCAACCTTTCATCTTCTCTTAGCCACTGCATTTTCAGATGAAAAAGCTTGCATTTAAAATGGCTCAGGCTTCTCTGTATTTTGTGAAGGTCTACCAAGTCCTTCCCAAGGACCAGCACCAGGACCACATGTGGTACCACATGGTGTGAGTGGTCATATGTGTGTGTAAGGGTTAGGGCCAAACCTGTCAGGAAAGCTGAATGAAGCACATGTGGTCCCACAGTCCACTTGATAAGTAGACACAGCACAACCCAGTACTCCTAGGACCAGCGCGTCATCCTCAGTGTCTTGTTAGTGACTGCTGAGCAGCACAACAATCTTCTAAGTGTGTCAGGGTTGCCATGTACTTCTAAATTCACATTATCTTAGTTGTCATTGCAGCCATGATGGATGAGGCAGTGCCATGTGCAGACCCTGCACTAGGTACTGGGCCCACATTATCTCATGTATTACCAAGGACCCCAGCAGGTAGGTGAAAAGACGACATAGCTCGGCCAGTGTGGCTCAGCGGATTGAGCATCATCCCATAGACTGAGAGGTCCCAGTTTGATTTCCAGTCAGAGCACATGCCTGGATTGCAGGCTCAATCCCCAGTAGGGGGCATGCAGGAGGAGGCTGATAGATGTTTCTCTCTCACATCAATGTTTCTATCTCTCCTTCTAAAAAATAAAATCAATAAAAACATTTAAAAAAAAAAAAAAAAGGTGACATAATTAAGGTTCAGAGAAGGTAACACCCAGCACCACACAAGAGGCAGCTGTAGAAAACCCCAGCCCAGCCAGCCCTCCAGGCAACAAAGTACTTACAGGTAGAATCTCCTTCCATGCCCCTTGTCATGGCACAGCCTTCTCTTCAGCAGCTCCATTTTTGTAAAAACTCCTTGCTACAACCATTTCATTGACATACTGAGACCCAGAGCACGTAAGTAATTTTCCCCTAAGTTGTGCACCTGGAAAACAGCAAAGTCAAGATGCATCCAAGACCATTGGATGCTAAAACCCATTGGCTTCCTCTTACACAGTATTGTCTTAGCTATGGCTTCATAAGAGAGAAAAAATGCACCTGGGCCAAGATCCTATTGTTGGTGTGCCAAGACTCTTAGGGACTGGAAAGATACTTTTGGTTTATGTTTTGCAACCTGTCTTTGCCACTGAGTGGTGAGACAATGTGGGGAGAAAAGTGGAAAGTCTGAGGTGACTTACATAGAAAATGACATCTCAGCAAAGAAGAGTAGGGCATATCTTATTCCTGTGAACAATGCTCTCCTTCCCACATCTTTAGAGGCATCCATGGCTGACCTATCTTCATCTGCCACAAGGCTCTTCCCATCTCTTTTTCACTAGGCATATCTGGTTTCATCAAGTGTTGTCCCAAGGTTCATCCAATTTTATCAAGTGTCCCCACTTTACCAGATATCTAAACTTGCCCAGATATTCCAACTCTCCTCAAGGAACTACAATGGGTTTGAGGAAAACATGATGAAAGAGGCTGCATTTGTAAGTAACTGTCATCAGAAGTTGCCCAAGGTGTCACAGACAGTTAGGCCACACAGATAATTGGAAACAGGGTCCTCAAAATAGGACCAGCCTCTTCAAAAGCTGGACAAGGCATTTCTTACACCCAGCTAGTCATCTAGCACTTTTTAAGATGCTAGAGGCCTCCCTCATTTGAAACAGCCTCTGAGTTTAAAACGCATTAATGGAGCAGCCTTCCCATTTGCCAACAACTCTTACTGCTCTAGGTTATACATTTGTTGAATGGTCACCACAGCTAAAGCCAGTGTTAAAGCTGCTTTTTTAGAAACCCTGGCCCATGTTTCTATTCCTCACCCCTGAGGTTTTATAGGGCTACTGAGAGGCCTCTAGTGGACTGGCTTCAGCCCTACCCCTTATGAAGACAGTTTTGTGTTTCACTCTTTCTCCTCAAACACCAGCTATATTTATTGCCATGGGTATTTACAATTGTTGGCCCAATTTACCAATAAACCATTTCATGTAAATTCTGACCCTGTGATGAGGCTGATCTCTCTAAAAATGTAGCTGTCCCATCTCCTAGCTAGAGGCCACCTTTTCATCTGTGCTCCACTCTTGATGACATTGGGAGCATCAGAAGGAGCCAGAAGTCATGTGTGAAGCTGTGGCTGTGATATCTCTACTTCCATGACTTCCTGGAGCCCCTTCCTGGTCTTCAGGATGAGCTGAGCTGCCTCCTGGGCTGGGGTGAACCTTACTCCCATCGGGTTCTCATCTTAATAAAGAAATGGTGGACATTAGATCCACAGATGCTCAAGGCCGGCAGACCACTGCCTCCCTGCCAAACAAGCATGTAAATCGAGTAGTGAATTTGTCATCTTACTGAGCCCCAAAGGAGCAGGTCAAGGCTCTACATAGGTGAGAAAGGAGAGGGTGGTAGTTGTCAGCTCTGTGTTTAAGGTGGCTGTCCTGCTTTACAGGAAGAATATTGATAAGATCAATGATGAGAACTGGTACAGCCCCACACAGGAGGGCATAGTGACCTTGGTAGTGGGTTTTTGTAGTAGGCAGTGTGTCTTGAGTGAGTAACAGGTCAGGAGAAGATTCGTAGTGGCTCTAAAGATTTGCCCATATCCACCAGGTGGAAAAGAGAGCATGGCAGTGATTAGTGTGATGGGGTGGAATGTGGGTGCCTCCATGGAGAAGCACTGATTTGGAGCCATTCACAGGGGTGGTGTTAGCCTGGGCTTTTGAAACCCAGATAATGGTGAGAGAGGTGGGCATGCTCTGAAATGTCTCAGGATTTTTGCGTCCACTGAGTTCAGTGTTGTAATTGGTCATGATTCCTCTGCTGTTATGATGAGTCTGGGTTCCAGGCAGTAAGGTGATTGTCTTTTCAGTGGAGCAGTGCTGTCAGTCTCATCTGTCACTCAGAAGTCCTTTCCTCTAGCATATATTGAGCTCAAGGCTACACATCTCAGGCCAGGGAGACAGGTTCATGAATCTGAATTCAGCATCAAGCCATGTACACTACTGACCAGCCGTGGATGGTTAAAAGTAAGGCACTCTGGGAGGGG